CGCTGCTGGTTGATGATCCTGCGCAGAGCGGACATCCCAGTCCTCGAAGTATACCTGCTCGCGATCCGTCGGGACCTTCATCACCTCTTCGATGTACCTCTTGACAGGGCGCCAGCTGTCATCGACCTTGATGCTCGGGCTGAAAATGATGACCCTTTCGAAGCAGTCGCGGTACTGCTCCAGAATCATGCTGACGAGCGCGGTGGACTTCTCCGACTTGCTCGGACCTACAAGCATCCCTGTCATTGGCAGGCGCGGAATGATGGGATCCTTCGGCTGCTTGACCTCGTAGGTCAAGATGGAAAGAGCTTGATGCGATCGAAAGCGGGACAACCTCTTCCACGAACAGGCCAAGCAAGCCGTAGCCAACCTGCTGAGGAACACGGCGAAGGACGGCATAGTGCATCGGCTCCAAAGCCTCAAGCCGCCATGTCCAGATCTGCAGGCAGATGTCGTGGTGGTGATGCTCTTAACCCTGACCATCCACCAACACGCGGCGGATGTCTATCGAGACCTAGACCTGCCAGCCAACAACTGCGCGGAAAAGGTGATAGGATTTCGGCTGCGCAAAGAAAGGGTCAACAAGACGTCCCTGGCAAAAGAACTGGAAAAGTTACAGCTCTGAGTTGGCAACTGGTTCATCCGCGTAACATCTGCTCTGCAAATGCTGTCCTGCACATGCTTCACAGCTAGATTCCGCAACGGCCAGACAACAGGCCTAGGTAACTTGAATTGCTATTCAGGCCACCAGATCAATCAGGTGCCCCGATCAGTTGCATAAAGCGACTGATCTCCAGAATCAAGAGTTCTGGAAGTGGAGTGAATGCATGTCACTATCTTGGTCATGCCACTGCTGGATGGTCTCTTGGAGTTTTGAAAGGCCGGCTCATCGGCAACCTGATGTAAGGGCAGGAACTGTTCAATAAGTATCGCATGTGCACCCTCCTCGTGCCTTTCTGGCCTTCCATCCTCCCCTGCACGGCTGCGCATGCCGTGCGCTGACAAAGTGTTGCAGGAACTCTGCTGCATCATGCTGGCAAGTCGGTCGTTGCATTCTAGCCACACGTATGGCCACGTTGGATCCCTGGCGATCATGCTGGAATAGTCTGTTGGCCACTATCCAAGTTTGTCGCGGATATCGTACCACGTTCCTAGCAGAGCGAGTTTTGGTTCTCAGCTTTACCTCGGCCGGAATGAACCATTTTCATCCTCGACCCATGCCCGGCGCCGGAAAATGACTCCAGCGTGATGGCGTGGTTCATCATCCAAAGCCTTTGGAGACGCCGGCGATGCCGCCGTGCGCGTAAAAGGCCCAGGGTGGCGCACTTCTCGAACGCTCCGAGGTCGACCTGTCGCATTCTGCCCCCGTGCTTCCATTTGCACGACCAGCGGTCCAGAAGAAACGAGATTAGCCTCTGAGGGCATTCGAAAACGGCAGTGGCCAGTTGGTGAAGCTCCGGGTTCATTCTTTTTCACATGCACGCCCGCCGCTTTCGATCGCCCGCTTGCTTGATGGCAGGGCCTTCTTCTGCTCCGCGTTCCACTCTGTGTACAACCACTGGAGCGGAGTCTGCGAAATCCAGTTGGCCGTTTCCGCTGTTTGGAGGGCTTGGGTGTCCTGCTCGATTTTGGTAAGTCTGGCTGTCGTCACCGTGCCTGCCTCGTACTGTTGGCGCCATGCCTGGCTGGCTTGAATCAGCATGTTGATCATGCCATGGTTGCCGGCTTCCAGGAAGAGAACATAGCTCCTGTCTGCTTCCAAGGATGTCAGCTGTTGCTCGTGCCTGGATGCCGCTCTGATCAGCGTGCGCAGTGTCCGGCGGATTGTCGCTTCGTCGAGCTCCGAATCCATCCATAGCTCCTCCTCTTCCTCCTGCTCGCGTGTCCTCTTGGCCTATGGCATTGCCTTTCCGGCTCCTTTTTCCACGCCCTTGCGGAACTTGCTCTGCTGCGCCACTGGCGTCCGCTGCTTGTTCTGCGGTCCTTGTCGTGGTAGGTTGGGTGCCGTCGAGGCCATTGGGGAGCTCAGTGCCCAAACCGCCGCCAGCTGCTGCTCTGGCGTCGTCTGCGTGGGCGTGGGTGATGCTGTCATGTCGCAGGCCTAGCTGCAACAGGGGTAGGCACTTCCTCCTATGCTCTCGGGCCGATTTCTGGAAGTGCACTCTACACCACGGGCATGGCCTGGTGACGCTTGCGTTCAAGACAGTTGCAGAGTCCGCGATCCTCCGTGCAATCTCATGCTGAGGTTCGTGCTTTTGTTTGATGTGCCTGCGCCAAGCCTGTATGTCCTGCACAGGTTCACCGCAAAGCAGGCATCTAGTTTTTGCCGTAAGGGCCATGTCTTTCAGCTGATCGTGGTTATCATCAACTAGTGGGTCAGCAAGGCAAGCAGATATGTCAACAGCTGGGCATGACATGGGCCATATCTGCGGTGGACCAGTTTCCTTCGAGGTGGAGGCGTCACGTCGGTGTATTTCGGCCAGTAACAGTTGAAAGAGGACCGGGCATTGCGAACAGTGTCTGTCTGTGCCGTGCACAATTCTACCACACCAACGACAGTTCTGACTTCTTTTCAGCATGTATTTGAACTCTGTGCATGCCTTGTGGAAGTCGGCAGTGAGGAATGCGAAAGCTCCCTATGCACACGCAGAATATGGGTTTTGATCATCCCTCCTTCGGCTATCCATCTGCCGCAGAAGCCGCAGTGTTGGCTAAGATGTGCTCGGTGTAGATTGGCCTGTGTGAGGACACCTTCGTGCTGCTGCAGGTGTTGGAGGACCCTGTCCTGTTTCAGCAGCGGTACGCTGTCCTCGTCGGAAGCGGAGGGCCGCTCGTCCGACGTCTGCTGAGGTGGTTCCAGTGCATTTGGCGCTACTACCGGACCAGGTTGCGCAGCTTTGGCTAGAGGAACCTGAGTTGAATCCGGTTCGGGCGGTGAAGCTTCAACGTGGGTAACCGGATTTAGGGGTGGTGTCGCCTGGGCATGCGCTTGTGATGTGGTTTCAGCCTGACGCGGGTGCCAGTTACAAACATTTAACGTAATGTGGCCCTGGAGGGCCGACCAATTGTACAGTTTTCTTTTGCAATGTCTGCATTGCGGCATACCTCCAATGGAATGTTGCTCCGGCTTATATTCAATGTTGACTCGGTCAGCCTGTATTTGCCCGTGTCTGAGTGCCTGGTGTTGTCTGAGCGCCTTTTTGGTAGAGTAATAAAGACCGCATGTGGGGCACGCGTGCTGACCGTGGCTAGAGGCCTCTATGATTTGGGCACTCGTGGCTTGGGTGTCGGCCTGCTGCAGATTGCGCAGTTGATCTTGCCAGAAAGAGATAACACCTGGGCCCTTGGTGGCAGGATCGCAGGTGTCTGACTGCAGCTGATTTATCTTCCTCTCAATTCTAGCAAGAAGCATCTGTATAGGATCATCCAGCCTAAATTGCTCTCGAACTTCACAATTGCTGATTTTTGTTAGGTGTGCTGGCATGTTGACTACAGCTCGTAGCTGACGGTGGAACCAGGCTCGGAGTTTAGAGACCATATGCCCATTGAATTGTGTAGTGAGGAGGCCGTACATGGCACTGCTGACTACGCAAGTCTGCCACACACGAACCCTATGATGACGGGAGAAGCCTTGTCTGGCCCTGATGCTCTTCCTCAGCGCTGTTACCTTGGACGCAGCTTCCGCAATTCGAAAGTCCAAAGTCTGGTCAGAACCTTCCTTAAGGGATAGCTTGGTACCAAGATAGGTGATTGTGTCGCAGATGGGAATAAGAAACTCCGTGTTTTTGCCCCGTATTCTCCAATGCGGTTGTTGTTTCACAATGACCGTTCGGCTGCGCGCAAGCTTGTTGAGCCGGTACCCTTGAACCCCAATAACAAGGCTAGATTTTTCCGGATTAACCTTAAGCCCATAGGATTCCAGGGTGCTGAAAAGCTTCACAATGAAGGCTTCCATGTTTTTGATGTCCTCCGTCGTCTTTAGCAACCAATGCCCCAGACGGTCGTCTGCATAGAGTGTGAGCGGAAGCTGCATAGGCGTCTCCTCAGGCGTGGTCAGGTCCCGCAGGACTTGCGACGAGAGTATGGCCCATAAGGCCGGCGCCAGGCGACAACCTTGGCGGATACGTTGTGTGGTGGCAACTGACGTTTGCTGGAAGCGATCCATAACCTTGTACGCAGCCTCTTCGTGGATGGCCGTAACTGTGGATCGTATGTCCGCGTCTACCTGGTGTGCCTGCAGTGCTTCATCTAGTTTGATCCTGTTGACTCTATCAAATGCTTGACTGAGATCGACTGAGAGCAGGCACCCTCCGGCTTCCGCGGGCGTTTGTCCAGTCTCCTTGCGCTGCTTTCCAACGAATCTGTTGCCTCCTAACGCCTTCATGTTAGCCTTTATCTCCCTTATACAAGCGTTGACTCTAGCAAGCGCGTCCGTCGTGTCCCTGAATGGCAAGTAGGCAAATTGAGGAGATTGCTCGAGGCTCAGACCTGCTTGCTCAAGAATGAGGTTTTTATGTGTCCGGCCAGGGTTTTACTATCAGGTCGTAACAAGCCTATGGGGCGAAGTGCCGAGGCAGAAATGGGAGGCTTGTGTGGTTTAGGAATAAAGCAGAGTTGGGGATCCTTCCAAGCAGATGGCAGTGTTGTGTTTACATGTTGTAGTGCGCCTGCTGCTTTAGCAAGCGACGGAGCAAGCACATGTGAGCACGCCTTCCAAGCTGTGGCCGGAGCGGAGTCCGCCGGCACGGCCTTGCCTACCGGAGTGCACTGAAGCTGTTCTTGCCATTCTGCTGCTCGCGTTGGCAATGCCAGTGCCTCTCCGGTGCGAGCCGGTACCTCAACAGCCGGTGCAAAGAGTTGCTCGCAGTGCTTTACCAGGGCTTTGTGTTCCTGCAGCAGTGGCATGGGTGAGCCATCCGGATGTCTGAACATGATGCGTCGCTTAACCGCCCCATATAGGCGCTTTATGTTGTGTGATTGAGCAGCTCTCTCCGCCTGCTGCAGATGTCCGAGAGTGATGGCCTTCTGCTGCTGCTGATGATATTGTTTACTGCGTCTGCCGTTTTGTATAAAGAGGACAATCCACTTCCAAGTACGAATGATCCCAAGGGCGCTGAAGGGTTTGCACTTTTCCAGGTGTGGGCAGTGCAGGTGTGGTGCCCCCCTCCCCGTCAGGATGGGTGAGAGTCTCCCTCCAGGCATGAAAGATGGCCTTGTATTGCGCCTGACGCTGGCTGTTGCGCGTGCGACCTTTAGTGGCTGCAGGAAACAGGGCTGCAACCTTATGGAGAAGGACATGATTGATGTCTTCGACCGTGCGCCATGTACCTTGCTGAAGGGCTGTGCGCACCTCCTGTTGAAGCTCCTGTATTCTCGGGCCGCGCTTCCTGTAGGCATTGTCAAGATCCTTCGTAGAGCAGGGCGGAGCCTGCTGAATGGTTGCACGGGGGAGGTGGAAATGCCGGATGAAGCGTACCTCTGCAACTAGTGCATTATGCGTCATTTCCTTCCAGCCTCCAAAAGGGGCCTCTGTCTTTTTGACCTGCTTCGCTCTCTGATCGGCGCTTGCTGGCTTAACCATAACAAAGTCAATCTGGGAGTTACCTGTACGGGTATAATTGGTACACGGGTCTTTCATTGTCCACGTGTTTAAGACCACTAGTTCGTTCGCCTGCGCAAATCTGGTGAGCGAGTGCGGGTCAAGGGCAAGGTGATATTCAGATTTATTGATGCATGGGCCAACTGAGCCTGGTGTGCAATGTACCTCCGCATTGAAATCTCCGGCGAGAACTAACGTATCCCTTCTAGCCATCCCCTGAATTACCCCGGAGCATTTATCAAGCAGGTTCTGTCGACGTTGCCGATTAACTTCGGGTTCGTCATTGTGAATCCAGACATGTTGATAAATATTGATTGTTTCTATGGCGGCACCTGCGTGGCACACTTTCACCCTGAGTACCCGGCCAGGTATGACTTCCTGATACCGCGCAAAGGAGGGGTCATGCTTGGGATGCACAAGTGTGAGGACCCCCTCCCCGCGCTTTGTGGACGATCCCACCGCCATCCATCTGTCAATCTGAAAGGTACTAAATGATGTGCGGTGTGTTTAATCATATTGTAGCCCGTCCCCCTTCAGGAAGGTTTTGATCTCCCCCCAGAGGAAGCCGCTCAAACTGTTTACATTGATGGAGAGAACCTTTATTCTTATAGGCTGGTCTGCGTGCAGTGCGGGGGGTGGTGACGTTGTCCCTAGCAGTGTGGAGACCCAACTGACTGCCATGTAAATACTGACCTCTATATCTAGCGTAACCCTGTGGATGTTGCTGGCTCCCGTTCTGTGCTCTCATAAAACTTCTTTTCCGCCCCGTGTTTACCATGACGCCCGCGGCCTGCATCACCGGCGCCGTTCTACCGCCATGGTGCATGCTTCTTTTTCTGGCGCACGCCGACGTGATCCGTTAGTTTGGGTCCCCCCGCCCCTGCTGAGGCGGGAACCCTCACCCCCTCCGTCAGTAGCATTGACTGTGCTAGGATGATAAGCGCACAGAGCCCGGACTTGGACCGGGCCAGCCGAACTTGCTTCGAGCTGCGCTCGCTGTCGTGGTAGATCTAGCTGTGGCCTCAGTGCATATGTAAGTCCACTGGTCCAGCGGCAGGTATTGCACGAGCCTTGGCGTCCGTAATGGGACAAGTTTGGGGCATATTCTGATTGTGCGCGCAAGCTTGAGTTCTCCACCACGATATTCCAGGAGGTGGGCCTACGCTGGTTCCGGGCAGAGTTTTCCCAGTGAGAGAATACCTGCCATGCCTCGCGAGAGCGGAGACCACTCTTCTCGTAAGGCAGACCTGTGACGTGCTTGGTTGCTCGCATGGCAGAAGAATCATAAAGTGCTTGGTGCCCCACTGGGGGTTGAGTCCACTCGCCCTGTGACCTGCTGGGTAACTAGTGGATAAGGCGCCGGATTGGTAGCTGATCGCAAGGAGAAAAACTGAGCCTCCGGCCACGACTCCTTCATGATCCACGACCCGAGATATGTCACAGGTTGCTGAACGTTGCAAGGGGAAGTGGAGTCCACAAGCCCTGAAAACCAATGCTGTGCACTTTGCAAGTGATGCATGCGCTGGCTAATCCATGGACTGCAGATCGACGCTAGGAGCTGTTCCTGATCGTCCAGCTCTGAGGTCAATGCTTTGCCTATGGGTATACGCCTCAGTGGCTGCAGTGCGCTTATCAAATGCGTTCTGGGACGCCTGAAGTGACATTTGGACCAGAAGGTCGCGCTGCTGCCTTTTGGTAAGATGGCCGCTAGATCCAGCACTTGCGCCTGAATTCCTGCTGCTATCCGCCCCCTGCAAAGAACCGGCAAGACTTGGCTGAGTTGGCTGCAACCACTTGGCACTGACCAACTGTTTGCGAGTTGTGTCCTCTGAGTCATGGGCAGCCTTGTGCTCGAGGTGTTCCATCTGCCTGCGCCTGTCAAGTCCTGCAGCCTGCAAGGTTGGGTCTGGTTGACTTTGACAGCCTCGAATCTTGTTATGCAGGGAGGGCATGTGAGCAAAATCGTCAATGATGCGATGAGACCAAAACAAACACTCAGGACGTAGCCATGTGCCATGCGCAGCAATACTAAGCTAAGCTACGCTACACTACGCTACCCCCTCCACGACTGCGAGCTATTTCGCGCTTGAGCCGGGGGCTTGCTGGGGCCATCTGCGATCTTGCTAGCGGTGGGGACCCGCGTGAAGAAAGTCTGAACGTCAAGCTTCTCCTCAGCTTCTACTGCCTCGAATACGATTTGAGCTCCTTCTTCTTTCCGAGTAAAAGACTTGGCCAGAGACGCCCATGACGGGCAGCAGCTCGCACTCGAAAACCACCTGTTGCTTGCCAACACGTTCGGCCCACTTCTTGTC